CTATCTGAAATACTGGTAGACGTACAGTTATGCGTTGGGTATGCCGCTAAGCATATTTGGAGATGTGAATAACAGATACAGGATCTGTCCCTTCTACTGTATAGAAGTATAATGTCAATGGGCCCACTGAATAGTAGGACTTGGGAAAGTGCATGGCCATGCCCAGATATGTCGCTATCCAGAGACTGATAAATATCTGATCCCTGCCAGTCTACTTGAGATTCAGTAACAGCTGATTTAACTATACAAAGATACACATCCCATGCCTTGTGTTAAATCTTGACATTTAGGACAGAAGGATAATAGTTATAGAACGTCTTGTGTCGTAGAAGGTATTGATGAGATGAACGTCTTTTTCATAATCTGAGGTAATAATGTGTTGTTAGATACCACTTATTATCTATGGTATTAATTTATATTAATATCATTGCCAGTGTTATGGATACCTAAAGGGTCACACACTTAGGACTTGTAAGGGAGTAGTATGCTACACTAGTGGGAGTAATATTAAATATATAGTTGTGAAAATTTTATATATATATATATATATATATATATGTATGTATGTATGTATGTATGTATTTATGTATTTCGAAAATACATATGTATTTTAAAATTATATTTTGTTTGTGTCATTTTAATTATATGATAATTATATTTTGACAAAACAAATTTTATATATATATATATATATATATATATATATATATATATATATATATATATATATATATATATATATATATATTGGAACACCCCAACCCGCGTAACCCGAATAAATAGGTTAGCGAACCGGGTTACTACTAAATTGGTATCCACATACAATATTTTCCAATGAATTAAAAACATTTAATTTAAAACTAACAAATTCAAAACCATCTAAATACATATCGGAGTTTATACAAACAGTGCGGAAGCTTTATAATTAAATCAAACATTATTAAATCCCTGCATCCGTACATCTCCTCCGTCACGCTGCCCTCCAGGATGTATTTCCAGGTCAACCCCTCCATGATTACCTACGTGTAACAAGGGAAAAAGAGGCTACATGCTCAGCAACGAAGCTGAGTGAGAATATCTAACAGTTCGAACATACACATATGCGAATCCACTAATTCATAATCATAACATGATATCATGCACATAGGTTTAATATCATGTAGTTCACATAACAATTCATCATATAATTTACCTGGCACCTGCCCTTTTTCCATTCTCGCCAAAGCGGAGCGTATCTTGCCAATGGTGGATCACCATTAATCTGTGCTTTGAACTCTACACTAGACTAAGGACTTACTACTTTTCTAGGAGTCATGATTGTTCCCACTGGATCAGCGGATCATGCTCAACCAATGAGGGAGTTCTCACGATTGGTGGATCACCAAGAACTTGTCCCTATTAATTATACTAGTCTAAGGACTATAACTTTACGGTATGGGAGACATGAGGGTTCCCACTGGATTAGCGGGTCATGCTCAACCAACGAAGGAGTTCTCCGTTGGGTGGGTGGAATCCCCACCTGATGGATCACCAGGGAGTTCAAGGATACGCGTACGTACATTTTTACCCGGTTCGACTTAACCATTGGAGCCCAGCAGGCAACCACCTGGTTTATACTCTTAATTTCCTATATTTATGTCAGTCCCAAAGTTTCCCTCTGGGTAGACTTACCTTACCAAACGCGTTGGATCAACACGTGGTACCTGTTTGCTGTGTGTTGGATCAGCCCACTCATACTTGCAATATCATATCCAAACATATGTATTTCACATAATCACACATGTGTTGAATCACCATAATAATATTAGTTCCCATAAGTGTTGGATCAACACCGAGCAATCACAATTACAACACATAGCAGCCTAGAATTAGGTATTGATACCCAAACTTACCGTCATACAACACATAAGGTCTCGGAATCAATCCTTGACGAAAACACATATCGACAGACCCAGCATCAAGTACTAGACGGTACCCTTCACGGTATGGGGTACTGTCCTCACGGTACCTGGGTACCGGTTCTACGGTACTGGGGTACCGGTTCTGCGGTACTAGGGTACCGTTCAGACTAACTGAACCCTTCCAGTAGGACTGCCACGGTAGACGCCTACTGACCAGGCGGTAGGGCCTACCGTCCGTCCGGTATCTAGGTACCGTATGGTGCAAGTACCGGCAGAGGCGACAGATCAAACAGAGTGTGACAGTAGCACGATACCATCCCGGCGGTACCGCCTATCGTCTAACAATGTAGCATATTCCAGTTTCAAACCAACAAAAATCTCATAGCAATAAACACCAATGAGTTCATATTACCATTCTAATTATTATCAAGCACATTATTCCATCAATCGGCACCTAAATCATGCATACTACCATTTTCAATAAGCATAGACCTTGAAACCACCATCCAAACAGTTCAGTCACGTAATTCACGCAGATCAATCACGATAATAACTATGAACAGAATTTCAAACATATATGCATATTCTAGTGTTAGATGTCCGCATACTCACCTCGATTCATTCTGATCCAATTTGAAAGAATGTCATTCGAAATCAACTGTCGGAACAGATCTGCCCCGCTGCCAGAACCGGTACTGCTGTCCCAATTACCAACACTGTGCGGACTGGCTGGAGCAAGGAGGGATATCGCCGGAGTTGTTGGAGTCCGTTCGCCGGACACCGGCGTAGATGGCCGGTCAATTCGCTGCTCGAGCTTATAGGGTCGCGCCTGCTTCACTGCTGCTGCCTGGACCAAATTGTCACTGTCGCCAGTGTTGCAGGGTCGCTGCCTTCCTCGCCAATCGCCGCCGGTCTGCCACTGCACCGCGGTCGGTATCGCTGAATCAACGAAGGGGGAACTCCTGTTCGCCGTCAATTGGGTCGCTGCGCCACTGAGCCGAGGAAGCTGCCAGAAATCGAGAGAGGGAGAGAGAATCCTCTCGTGCCGGCGCGCTGGCGCTGATCGGAGAAGAAGGGACGGCGATGGGGGGTCTGCCGTTGGCGGCCTTGAATCGGGAACGAAGAAGAATAAGGAGGCGGAGACCTACTGTACGCGTGAAAGTAAATATATATGCCCAGGGTTTTGTACTCCATAATTTAAAATAATGTGTCTGAGTGCAAACACACTTTTCAGGCTAACTTCCTCCAAATTGAAATCCGTTCGCGTCGTTAAATTCCATTCATCGATCCCTACCCAATGATATAACTTTTATAATCAAACGACAAACATTTGTATGTTCCAATCGGTCCATCTTAATTCTTTCGATTAATTGGTACCGATCAGTCTTTTAATTAAAACCCTTATCAGTATAATCAGATTAGCTCCATTATATTGAGACAACTAGAATCTCTAAAATATCTTTTAATTGTTAAAAAGAATAATTTATCGTAAATAAATAATTCTTATTTATTTAATTATTAATAATTTCTAGCCCGGTTTCTAGGGCGTTACATATATATATATATATATATATATATATATATATATATATATATATATATATATATATATATATATATATATATATACTCTCATGGTCTATTAGAATGGTAATAAGGCTTTCCGGAAGAGGTTGAGGTTGTCCTTAATTACTTGATCAAACTGCTTCATACTCTCATGGTCTATTTCTTCATCTGTGGAATGTGTTTGAGTTCTTTCAAACTCCAATTTCAGTGCTGAATCCATGAAAGCCTTATTTGCAGATTCCTTTTGTCCTTCATCTTCTCTGCCATAAAGCCTCTGGGCGCATCTCCATCCTTCATCCCTGTCTATTTTAGCATTCCTGGATATTCTAGTAGTTCCATTTAGAAGTGGCGATTGGTTACTCCCCAAAATCCTATCTTCTGATACCCTAAGAAACTGAGTTAAACCCTTGCTAAAAAGCCTAAGTCTAGATAAGTTGAAGCCAGCGGGTATGAAAATATGAGAGCTCCCTTTAATAGAAAAAAGTCTAGCATAATGTCCAAACCTATTTGATTCCCATACCACTTTGAGAGAATAATCTCCATCATAACAAGTGATTTCCCAAGATTCTTCAGTGTAATCCGGCCTACTTAGGATGTCAATAGACCGTGTGGCTAGATGTCTTGAAATTGATATAAGACGGATCTTACGTGATTTTGATTCGGAAATGCTGATGCACTACCCGTCTTCTGAGACCACAAAATCCTTGCTTTCAATTGATAAAGAAATCTGACCGACTCCATTCCTGAAAGGCCATGAGCTCTGTCTCCTCCACCCTCGCTGTGTGTGAGCTGGATGATGAAACTTGGGACGATAAGATTCAGAGTACCATGGCCGTCGATTCCCAAAACCCAGAGATTCCCTTCTGTGTTGTGGTCTTCCCCGCCGGTCTTCATCGAAATTGAGTCGCCGCTAGTGGGCGGCGTTTCCCCTTCTCTCTCCAAACCCTACCGTCCTTTTATATATATATATATATATATATATATATATATATATATATATATATATAGGGGGCGGTTCAGGTGAGAATGCACCTTGGTGAAATAAATAAGAATGAAATCTAGCCTTTAGATCTGATGCATCGTGCGGCTCAGATTGCATCCTGCACTCAGATTTTGAGATAGTGCATTTTTAAAGGATTTTGTTGCATTTCGACATGATGCATTTTCAAATCATTTTGGTGCACCTAATTTTGATGCAATCCTCACCCTTAGATCTCACAATCTAAAGCACTAGATTCATTCTTATTTCGTTCATAAGATCGCATTCTCATTTGAACCAAAATCTATATATATATATATATATATATATATATATATATATGGGTTGGATCATGTGAGAATGCATCTTGGTGAAAGAAATAAGAATAAAATCTAGCCTTGGGATCTGATGCATCGTGTGGCTCAGATTGCATTCTGTGCTCAGATTTTGAGATAGTGCATTCTTAAAGGTTTTTGGTGCATTTCGACATCATGCATTTTCAAACCATTTTGATGCACCTAATTTTGATGCAATCTTGACCCTTAGATCTCACAATCTAAAGCACCAGATTCATTCTTATTTTTTTCATAAGATCGCATTCTCACTTGATCCAAAATCTATATATATATATATATATATATATATATATATATACACATACATATACATACATATACATATATATATATATATATATATATATATATATATATATGCTCACTCAAGGATGTTGAATTTGACAAGATTGATGATGGGAACAAGGTACTCTGCAACAATGCATTAGAAGAAATTAGGGATGAAAGAGATGGGCCAATTTTGTACACGCACTCGGAAGGAGAAGACAAGGCCTTCAATGACAACATTCTTAAACCTCTACAAATAAATTACTCCAGAATGTTCAAAACACCTTTTGACTTGGGAAGAGATTACAAGGGAAGGCGCATCTACTCTCCTTCGCAAATAGTTACCAGAAGTAGGGCTAAGCTTTTAAAAGAAGGAAGAAAGAAAACCCCTATTGGGTGGGAGGAAGGGTCAGACTCTTCAGAGGTTCCCTATGCAGATGGAATTAGAAATTTCTTCAAGCTTTGTTGTCCAAATAAGCCAGAAAAACCTCTTCAGAAGCAATCTTCGAATAAACCTTTAACCAAAAGCCAAAAGAAAAAGTCTAAAAAGAGACTTAAGAAGAAGAAGGGTTCAGGGCTTGAAATGGTAGAATCAGATTAATCAAGCTAGTCTCTTATAGTTTCTTGGGGTCATATACTACTTTTGGAATCTGTGTTATAGCCGGGTTACTTTACCCATTAGGTGCTTTTCTCTTCACTGATCTTAAGCCTGGATATAATTTGAGGTTATTCTGCCCCTGCTAGCCATAAGGAACTTATTTTGGGAGATGGTTGGTATTAGGTTTGTGTACATATGTCATCTTGCAGTAGTCCAGAGGGACTCAGCTGTTATCTGGCCTACTTCACTGTAATTTTTCAAAGTTATCCACTCGTAGCATCCTTACAGCCATGATTCATTTGTTCCCTTAGTTTGGATAATATTCCAGGTTTTGAGATCGATCAGCAGTTTACTGTTTGGGAACTTCAAGTTGAGATCTTTACCTCTTGGACACTAGCTAGAAAGGGTTGCAGATATTTGTTGGGATATTGTACTCTTTTGGTTGTTTTGTTTTAGTGCTTAGTTTTGATGCTTTGGCCATTTTGTTAGGGATGGGCCACCCCCACCTTTTGTATTTCTCTTTTCCTTAATAAAATTTCCTTATATTTAATATATATATATATATATATATATATATATATATATATATATATATATATATATATATATATAGATTTTGGTTCTGGTGAGAATGCAATATTAGGAGAGAAATGAGAATGAATCTGATGCTTTAGATTGTGAGATCTAAGGGTCAAGATTTCATCAAAATTAGATGCACCAAAATGGTGCGAAAATGCATCACGCTGAAATGCATCATAAACCTTCGAAAATGCACTATCTAAAAATCTGAGCGCAGGATGCAATCTGAGCCGCACGATGCATCAGATCCGACGGCTAGATTTTATTCTCATTTCTCTCCACAAGGTGCATTCTCACGGGAACCGGCCCATATATATATATATATATATATATATATATATATATATATATATATATCACTACAAGGAAAAGGACTTTTAGTTACGGATCAATTATGACGGGTTGATAATACTCTCATTAAATGTGTTATTAATACATTTGTAATGAGGGGAAAAAAACTCTAGTTAAGAGGTATTATTTTTAGTGACCAATTTTTTTCATTTTTCTTGTTTTAAAGTTAATACTCTCATTATATATTTATATATTTCTATATTGGCCAAACTAAAATATATTAAAAAATGAAATTATTTAGAAATAGTTATTATTCCTTGAAAAATACAGCGGCAATCTAATTGGGATTACCGCGCCTAAGTTCCCTTTTCGCTGTGGAGGTATTTTTGGTGAAAATTTCTCCCCAGATCCACAATCTCTCCTCAACCGCTGTTTCGCTGAAGTCCTGCCGCTGCCGCTGCCGCTGCCGCCTGCGTACAAGCTTTCCGGCCACTCCTTCCCTCTAGACGACCAACAGTGTTCGACCAGAGACCTGTTTTTCTTGGTTTTTCCCTGCTGTTTCTAGGGATTCGGCGAGAGGAACAAGAGCTCCGTCCGCCACTCGTTTCCTGTCTTTTGCTTACTCAATTCCAGGTAATTTTCTTTGCCAAATCATGTTATAATGTTTAATTTTTCCCCAGTATGATGATTTTGGCTAATTTCTTGATGAGGGTTTGAGCATCTAATTGACTTTGCTTTTGTTTGAATCCATTCTGTTTATAAAGTTTGGTGCAATTTGTTCATCAATTAGGTTTGAAGTTTGATTCTGTGGCAGCATTTGTTGGCCCTCTAAAGTATTCTATTACATCATGAAAGTTTGTAGAAATTTTCTACTGGTGCGGCAACCCTAACTTCCTTCTATGAACAAAAACTGAAATGGAAAAGCCATTGTTGAGTCCATGTTAATTCTAATGTTTCAACACTTCTTTTTTATTTGTTGGTATATTTTCTGGCTTTCAAGAATTTCTGGCTTTCTATCTATTTATTATATTTTCTGGTTTTCTAGAATTGCTGGTATATTTTCTAGCTTTCTCTCTATTGATTATGCTTGTTATACTTGTAATCTTTATTTTATACATAATATTTTAATGTCTTTTGAAGGTATTATTGTCTTTTTGGATGGCTCCTAACAAGAAATGGATGAGTTTTTTCAACGATCGTCTAAGCAAAGAATATAAAGACGGTGTTAAATCTTTTTTGAATTACGCTTTTCAAAATACGGGTGGAGAAAATACCATACGATGCCCGTGTGTCAAGTGCCAGAATACTGGATCGCTGACTCGCGAGAAAGTTGAAATGCATCTTATTATCCATGGTATTTTGCCAAGTTATAGTTTCTGGTATCACCATGGTGAAAGGAGAGGTGAGCCAGAATGTGATTATGAAGAAGTAGAGGAATGTGAAGATGATAATGAGGTTCATGAAATATTAGAAGATTTGTATCCTCACTATTATGGTCTAAATGAGAGGGATTCACAAAGTGGTTCTTCGGGTCATATTCATCATCAAGAACCAAATGAGGAAGCAAAAGCATTTTATAGGTTGTTAAATGACCTTGACCAACCAGCATACCCAGGTTGTGAGACTTCTAAGTTATCTGCAATCGTCAACTTATTACACATTAAGAGCATTGGTCGGTGGAGCAATGATTCGTTTGACATGTTGCTGCAAACATTGAAAGATATACTCCCAATGGGCTCATGTTTACCTAAAACATACTCTGATGCCAAAAAGATAATCAAAGATCTTGGGCTCTCTTATAAGAAGATTGATGCATGTCCTAACAATTGTATGTTATACTGGAAAGATGACGAAGTACTTGACTCGTGCAAAATTTGTGGTGCTTCAAGGTGGAAGGAAAATCATCACTGTGGGGAAGTTAAAATCAGGAATGATGGTAAGAAAGTGCCCATGAAGACAATGCGTTACTTCCCTTTAGCACCAAGACTTAAGAGGTTGTTTATGTCTAGAAAGACAGCATCTTTAATGAAATGGCATCATGACTCAAGAGTAGATGATGGAGTGATGAGACACCCGGCTGACTCTATGGCATGGAAATCATTTGATGAAACTTATAAAGAATTCTCATCAGAACCTCGCAATGTAAGACTGGGATTAGCAAGTGATGGTTTCCAACCATTTACTCATTCAAAAACATCATATAGCATTTGGCCAGTCCTACTCATTCCATACAACTTACCACCATGGATGTGTATGAAAGAATCAAATTTTATTCTTTCCATGCTTATACCTGGGCCAGATAGTCCTGGAGATGCAATTGATGTCTATCTTCAACCTTTGATTGAAGAATTGAAAGAGTTGTGGGAAGTAGGTGTGAACACGTTTGATGCTTCTAGCCGCCAGAACTTCAATTTGCATGCATCACTACTATGGACTATAAATGATTTTCCTGCATATGGAAATTTAACTGGTTGGAGTACTAAAGGCAAGATGGCATGTCCATCATGTAATAAAGACACTTGTTCTATGCGTCTAGTCAATTGCAAGAAACAATGCTATATGGGCCATCGGCGTTTTCTTCCAAAAAATCACAAATGGAGGAATGATAGAAAATCTTTTGATGGGTCAAAAGAGTTAAGACCACAACCAAATTTACTTTCTGGAAATGAAATTCTTGCTCAAGTGAGTGATCTTGAAGGAATAACTTTGACCAAAGACACCAACAAGAAGACAAAGATATCACATGAGAAACGAGGTGATAATTGGAACAAGAAAAGTATATTTTTCGAACTTCCTTATTGGAGTACATTGTTGTTGCGGCACAATTTAGATGTGATGCATATTGAGAAGAATATATGTGATAATGTTCTTGGAACGATTATGAACATTCAAGGGAAAACTAAGGATACTGCTCAAGCACGCCTTGATTTGGAGGTTATGAATATCAGACCAGACTTGCATCCAATTCGCAAAGGAGATAAACTCGAACTGCCTGCAGCATCATACGCCTTATCTAACAAGGAGAAACACATGTTTTGTTTATTTTTAAAGCAATTGAGAGTTCCTGATGGATTTTCTTCCAACATATCACAATCTATCAACATGAAGGAGCACAAAATTTCAGGTTTGAAAAGCCATGATTGCCACATTCTTCTACAGAATTTAATTCCTCTTGGAATACGTGGTCTCCTACCTAGTGCAATATGTGAGCCTCTTATTGAATTGTCCATGTTCTTTAGTAGTATATGTGCAAAGACATTAAGGGTTGATGAGTTAGAGCAAATGGAATCCCAAATTGCATTAACCTTGTGCAAGTTAGAAAAAATTTTTCCTCCTTCATTTTTTGATGTGATGGTTCACTTATCAGTGCATCTTGCTAGTGAGGCTAAAATTGCTGGACCAGTCCAATATAGATGGATGTATTCTGTTGAGCGAATGCTATATCAGTTAAAGAAGCTTATTCGAAATATGGCTCGACCAGAAGGCTCAATAGCAGAAGGCTATATTGCTAAGGAGTGCATGACTCTTTGCTCAAGATACTTAAAGGGCATCAAGACAAAATTTAATGTGCTTGAGCGAAATGATGAAGGTTTATTCCAAGAAAGGAATGCTGAAATATCTATATTCTCTCAATCAGGAAGAGCACTAGGGGCTGGTAGTAGTCGTTCTCTTACAGATGATGAGTGGCTACATGCTCATATTTACGTTTTAAAAAATTGTGATGAAGTGCAGCCATTTCTCAAGTAAGAAAATATTTGTAAGAAAATAAATATCTCTAAGAAAATTTATAATTGCCATAATAATGATTCACAAGTATCTAACTACTTATTTACACAGTGAGTACACTCAAGATCATGATAACAATGCCACAAAAATGTCAATTGACGAGTGGGATACTTCTTTTATCGCTTGGTTTAAGAACAAGGTGCATAAACATCCTTTCACCTGCGTTATTTTTTAAATTTAATTTATTACACACTAAATGTTTACTATATCATTTTTAGGTTGCGGATATGCACACACAGGGCCAAGACGCACGCACTGATAGTTTAATATCGTTATCTCGTGGTCCTTTAAGATACAGTACATGCTATAATGGGTATATTGTGAATGGATTTAGGTTTCGAATTGAAGACCGTGACCTTGGTTGCAAAACACAAAATTCTGGGGTGAGCGTCTTAGGGGATGTTGGAAGTGGAAGAGACTACATTGAGTATTATGGAGTGTTGTTGGAGATCCTTGAGTTACACTATCTTGGTGGTAAAAGGGTATCATTATTTCGATGTCGATGGTTTGATGTGCATAATAGTGAGAAGGGGGCCAAGGTAGATGAATTTGGTTTCACTTCAATTAACACTCAGCGTATACTGAAAACAAGTGAGCATTTTATTTTAGCCAATCAAGCATCACAGGTATTTTATGTCGTTGACAACAAGATTAAAGGATGGCATCTTGTTATCAAGACACATCCTCGTGATCTTTATAAGATGTCACACCAAGAAGAGGTTGAGAACATCAATGAGGATCATTTAGGTGAAACATATCAGCATGGCGAATCATTTAGTTTCAAATGCCAGGAGGCACCTACATTGAATGTAGATAATCAAGGTGTTTGGGGAAGAAATGATGTGGAGCCAGTTATTGTAGAACCTTCCACAAAAAGAAAACGAAAAAAAACTTGATAAGTGTTTAGTTTGTGGGGTTCATTGATTTCATGATTTTGTTAGTTTGAGGCATGCATAAATCCCCACAGGTAAAACGTGGCACTGAAGTGCGTAGTGTACATCTTTTCAAGTCTAAATATGCTATTGAACTTTACTCCACTACCGTGTATATATGTAACTTGTGAATTGATATATGTTTTTTTTATTATTTCAGAATGTTTAGCTCGAGTGAAGCCACGTCTGTTGCCAACAAATCTAATTTGACGAGATCCTTAATGGAAGAAAAACATACTAAAGGTAGAAGCACTCAACAGCCTAAATGCTTAGCACCTGGTATGCTTGCCCAAATGCGTGCAAATAGACAAAGTTCTCATCAATTTGGTAACACTACTAAAGTCTTCGCACCAGGTATGATAGTCCAATGATCATCCATATTATTAATGTTTTATATGTAAATGTATTAGAGTATATGCCAACTATTATAATGTGACTTTTACATATTTCAGGGCCGAATACTACATTTCCCTATACGACTCGTGGCATAGGAGCTTCAACATATGGTATACTATTTAAAATAATAATTTTATTTATGAACTAACAAACACGTTTAACCATCATTTTATTGTAATTCAAAAAGTGCTCTCTCATCCCACACTCTAATTATGCATTTTGGGGAAAAAGAAGTGAAAGACAATGATTTCAATGAAGATAGCTCTTTTTTAGATATTTTGAACTTATGCAAAAAGTTCATAGATATCTATTCTGTTGGTATCAAAGTTATCGATGGACATGGTAGACCTTTAAGAAATGATAAAGATGTTTTAGCAATGTTGAAGGACCATGAGGATCGTTCATACATACATGTTTATTTAGTGGAGGACAAAAGGGCTCGTCCTTTGAGCTTTGTGATGCCATCGGACAATTTTACATTGGGTATACTCCTTAAACTATATTTAATTTATACTTTGTTTATTATTTTCAAATTGGTAAATCTAACTATTATTTTATTGCATTTTAAAAGATGGTACCCACACTCTAATTATGCACTTTGGGGAAAGAGAAGTGCAAGAGAATGATTTCAATGAAGATAGCTCTTTTTTGGATATTTTGAACTTATGCAAAAAGTTCATAGATATATATTCGGTTGGGATCAAAGTAACTGATGGACATGGTAGACCTTTAAGAAATGATAAAGATGTTATGGCAATGTTAAAGGAGCATGAGGTTATTCCGTGCATACATGTTTATTTGGAGGAGGATAAAAAGGCCCGTCCTTTAAATTTTATGATGCCATCAGACAATTCCACATTGGGTATACTTATACAACTTTATGTAATGCACATTTTGTTTATTATTTACTAACAAAAATATTTAACTATTATTTTATGTCATTTTAAAAGGTGGTACCCACACTCTAATTCTGCATTTTGGGGAAAAGGAAGTGCAAGAGAATGACTAAAGAATTTCAGGTATGATAGCTAAGCTTAAAGATGGATGCAAGTCTCTTAATTATATTGAGCTTATAATATAAAGGTTTAGCTTATGTTATGTTTGCAGAAAATGAGTCAGCAGAATTCAAAGAATAAATCTGCATCAAATATGGGAATGCCTCATCGTAGTGGAAGTATGCCACACAGAGAAATCATATATGAAAATGTATTTAAATCGTAACTCGGTGTTTTATTTATTTAACAAGACATTCGTTTCTTTAAGTCTACTTTACTTTCTTTAAACTTACAGGGTGGAAAAGATTCCAAAACACCGGACTTGGCAGAAATTTTTTTAAAGACACGAAGCAAAAATGGAACACTGTGTGAGAAGGAGAAAGAAAAATATGTCGGTATCACTACATTAAACTTTTGTAGAGAACAATTTTATTTACTATTTTTTTTAATGAATTTCGATGTCATAAATATTGATAGGATGAGATTGTGAAGACTGTTAAGTCCAATCCATCACTTTCAAGTCTTGAGGTTGCTGAAAAACACTTCGGTCCACAACGCCATGGTCATGTTTATTGTTTTGGAGGTGGGGTGAAGCGAAAGCACTTTAAGGACTCCAAAGAAGTGTACATCAGAGATTTGGAAGCAAAACTCCGTAAGAAGGACGAAGAGAATCAGGACCTCAAGAGACGTATGGATATGTTTGAAAGTAGGTTAAATATAATGGAGACAGGAACATTTTCTAGAGATCAACCTTCCACTCCAGATAATGATCACCGATTTGATGAGGTTAGCAATTGTAAGAAAGCACCTAATTGTAAATTGTAATATATTTGTAGCTTATCTATTCTAATTAAGTATTACTTTGAGTTGCAGTTTAATGGTGAGAATGATGAGTAGCTACTACTTCTACACAAAGTTACCTTATTGGTATGCTTTTTATATTTTGGTCGATCATTACATCAGTTTTAAAACTTATTATAAGAAATTGACTATTTATACTTTAGTTTGATCTTTGTTACAGGAAAATGTCTTGATGCAAATGACGTGCATGATGTTGAAACTTGAGAAGAGTATTAAGATTTATGAATTTTCTTCAATAGTTTGTTTTTTTGGATTCTATTTTTTATTTTGTTTGGATTCTATGGTTAATGAATACGTTTTTTCCTTTATTGTGATTCTTTGCTTATTTGTTTACCTTTTGGTATTATTTGGGATAAGGACTTTGTGACTATTGAGTTTCTGCTTGATGAATTGGTAAATGGCAACTTGCCATGGGTTTTGGTTGTTCTATTCTGTTTTGAAGATTCTTGTAGGTTGGTACTATGCAAGTGGTCATGGATGTCAGTTTGACTTCATAGTTCAAATCGGGTGATGACTTCTGATGATCAAGGTGCCATTTTACAATCACATGAAGCATATCCGTGTATGAATATAACTGGTGATTTCTTTGACTAATTCTTTTTGTCACTAGTGAAGTGGATGCTTCCCTTGTTTCCTACACTGTTCAGGGATGGTCTTTTACTGGTGGTTGCATCAGGTAGAAATACAATATCAATTGCAAGCACCATTAAAAGATTGGCATCTGAAAATTAACGTGTTTGTTATCCAGGTTTGTTTGCAAACTTCTTATCATTTTGCATTTCTTTTCATTTTTCTTCTTCGGGCCTGTTTCATAATTGATTTAGAGTATTCATTAACAGCGGAGCAGACCTTGCAAATACGGTGTAGACCTTTCCAAGCAGATAACGTCTTTGCACAATATTTATAGCACGGCACGGCAGCACAAGGGGCTTAAAGACCCCTTTTGTCAACTAATAAACTCTAATGCCTCGGGGTATTTCTTTTGTGAGCTACATATTTACAAAGTACGTTATAATAAAGGAATTGGGTACTCATCCAAAAGTATACATTTGGGATGGTGAACGTATGTGTTTTCACTCACATTTTGAATTCTGTCTCTCTACAGGCTAACCATCTTCAGAAACTTCAATTCGTTCACTGACACATGTAGCCACCTTGTTTGCTACCTTGCTGCCCTTCCATGCATGTTGTTCACCATCTCACCTCCACCTCCGGGCATAACTCCTTGTGCTAGTCATGCAAACTCAAGACTCTGTGTTGTTCCACCCCGCTATATACCACCCCACGTCGTCTCTGAGCAGATGCAGCCTTGCCTTCCAAACTGTCAGTTTCAAGGTTGGTTTTTGCTTTGTTTATTGCAAGAGGTTGGTTTTGGGTTGTGTGAACATTAGTTTTGATTTTTGCTTTGTTTATTGCAAGATGCTGGTTTTGGTTCGCGTGAGCATTAGTTATTTTTAAACATGTTGCAGAGGGTTAACTGATTGATCATGAGGTTTTGGTGCTTCTATGCGGATTGTGTTTAGGTTCACTTCAACTACTTCTGTGTATATATAACATTGTTTCTTTTGTCATGTGATTGTGTTTTTCATGAATATACATATATATGTTTGGGGATGACAGGGCAACATTAAATGTTTTTCTTTTTGTAGTGAAATCCTGAATTGCGACTAAGACAGCATTGAGAAAGGTGTTGATAAGGACAATGACAAAGTTGAAGTCGTCGTTCTTATATGTTGAACTCTAAGTGGAAGTGAACATTGAAGATTTAGCTTTGGAAGTTGATTGTTGCTGTTCTGAAGAGCAGGGCAATTTGCTTTTAGGTTATTGAGTTGGATTCTACTTTCTAACTTAGACTTCTTTTTTTTTGTCTCAAAGGGCTTTGGTTTGGTCCTCCCTTCTTGTACATTAAATTTCATTACTTCTTTTTTTAATAAAATCTTTTTCAATACCCCTCTCTCTCTCTCTCTATATATATATATATATATATATATATATATATATATATTAATGACGGTATATATAATCATAAAAAATATAATTCTTATTACTAATAATTATATTGATGACGGTATTTTTTGTCATAAAAAGAGTATTTTGATGAAGGTAAAAATACTCTCATTAAATAAGTTTAATGAGAGGACTTGTAACTCGTCATTATTTGTAATTAGCTACGGAGGCTATAATGACGGTCCATGAGAGTAAATTTCCTCTCATTAAAATGTTTTAATGACGGTTTTTTGTGTTTTAATTACAGATTGTACTCACACTATAGAACATTTTTCTTGTAGTGTATATATATATATATATATATATATATATATATATATATATATATAATTTTTTGAATAATAATATAACATAATTAAGAATCTCAAGGTGTGTTTATTTAATGGAGTATATTTAGTGTACTTATGCTAAAATGTAATTGCACTTCGTAATAAACTTTCTTTCTAGGTTTTTTCAAAACTAATTTTAATCATTTCATGTTTAAATCTATTACAAATTTACTAACTATCCTCGGTGGGTATTGTGATTGTACTTGAAACGAAAGTTAGCCTTCACTAAACATTCTTTTAAGAGTAAATTCCATAAAAGATCCCCAGTTATAGGTCATTTTACATATTTAGTCCCTACATATCAAATATTACTAATTTAGTCCGTAATTATTATATCAATTTTCACGAATGGTCCTTTGTTACCATTTTTGTTAAGAACGTGAATAGAATTGTATATTCATACTTCTCTCTCCTCTATTAACCTTTTCCCTCCTTTCGTATTCTTTCCCAAACTCGTCGCTGAGTTTGAAGCTCTAAACCCAAAACTGAAATGATCATCCTCTCCTAATTATTAGTCTTCCTGGTGGAATATAAAATCAAAACAAATAAGCTTTATGGATGAGTTTTATCGGTTAATCTCAAGAAATTGCAAAGAAAATAAACATTAAAACGCATCCATGAAAGTTACACACCAGTTAGACAAACAATTGAGAGAAGAGTGATTATATCAATTTTAGGTTCAAAGCTGAGTTGGGTTTGGGAAAGGAGTGCGAGGGGATGAAGGAAGCTTAATTGAGAGAAAACATTGTGAATTTACATTTTTATCCATGTTCTTAATGGAAATGTTAACAAAGGATCATTCGTGGAAATGAATATAATAATAAGGGACTAAATTAGTAATATTTGATATGTAGGGACTAAATATGTAAAACAACCTATAACTGGGAATCGTTTATGGAATTTACTCTTGTTTTAAACTTTATTTACATTCAAATCATTGTAGGTTGAACATTTACTGCACACACAATGACCAAATTAGACAAGAATATTATTTATGTTGATAACTTAAGTCACTTCACAACCAACAATAAAATCATCCCACATAAAAAAAGGATAAACTCCTCTGTCCAAAAATTATCTTCCTTTTATACGTTAGCATGTTTGACTAAAATTATTTTCAAATCATTTTATATAAAAAATGATGTAAAATAAAAAAATACATATTAAAAAACTACATCAAAAGATCTACAAAGCTAAAAGTGACATGATTATATTATTTTATCAAAAAAGTTATAAAAATAAATAAACAAAGTAAATAAAGTTTGACTATGTGAATAATGAATGTGAAGATAATATTATTTGGATATAGAAAGTATTATTTAAATGGAGAAAGCCCCGACTTCCTATATCTAATGTAGAGTGTGCTTTTCATAACCGTCGAATTAGTTTTCAAGATTACAAATGAGTTGTTTTATCTATTTGCCTCTAGCTATATCTTATTGTAATATATATTTTCATAAATACTACATCTAGCTTTAAACTATCTTTATACTCCCTCCGTCCCATAGATCTTTCCAATAGCCCTTTTTCTTTGTCCACAATAGATCTTTTTATTTCATTTTTAACAATTAAAATACCATAACTACCCTCACTTACTTTATTTATTACACCTCACACACCTCATTTAATACACTTCACCCATTTTCATTAAGGGTATTATGGTAAACTTTTACCTTTTTTCAACTCTCTTTAAAAATCATCAAAAGTCAAAATGAGAACATCTCAGGGGGACGAAGGAGTAGTATTTTTGAGACTTTTCAGTTTTGGTGACTCAATATCACATAAATTGTACCATTGAGCATCATAACTTTTTGAATGACTAGGTTGTTAAACACACATGATTCCATTAGATAATAAAGATTATGCATTGAGTTTTAAGCTAAAGGAGTAAATACTTTTGTTTATTTATAATCCTATAAGTTATGTTTAAAAGATTAGTTTTATATATTGTATCTTAAAAATTAGTTTTGTTTAATAATCCTCTTCATAATGATGAAATGACTTAGGATAAGCTCAAATTTAGAAAGTAACTTATTCATAAGAGATTAATTGTGTTTAGTCCTCGCAAATTGAATATATTCTTCTCTTTCTTCTCAAACTCGTATAATTCCTATGAACATTCACTTCGTTGTATATCAGGATCTTCAAGCTATTACAATTTATTATTTTGGAAACTGTAACATACAGTTGCCCATGACTAAATACCGGTTTCCGTAACAATAATTCAACATGTTTCAGATATTGTCCCTGACAATAAGTTAATAGTTTGACTTATCTGGCAATAACCAACATATTAATGTACTTATTTTTGAATTTGTAGCTTTTATTTTATTTTCGTATTTAAATGATACCATTAACTTACCCTACGGTATTTATTTTCTATTTTAGTTTAGAACACTTACAATTTTTACACATGTCCTGTAAATTATAGTATTAATAGTATTAAATTTAGAACAGTTACCATCGTGACATGTCTCCATGCTTATAGTATTAATTTATAATTTTTTTATTTTTTTTATTTAAATGGTACCATTTACTTGCTGTACCATATTTATTTTTTAATTTATTTGATAAAAATTATAATATTACTTGCTTTCCATTTACTTACCGTAACGTAATTATTTTCTAATATATTTAAGAATACTTACCATTTTGAGATTTATTTTATTTTCTAATTTATTTAGAACACTTACCTAATTTATTTTAGAATACTTACCATTTATTTTATTTTCGTGTTTAAATGGTACCATCTGCTTACCGTACTGTACCCTATTTATTTTCTAATTTTTTAATTAGAACACTTACACTTTTAAAAATATTTCCTATTTGTAAATTAGAGTATTAATATTAATCTGTAATTTTTTTATTTTAATTTCGTATTTAAATGGTACTAATTACTTACCAAACCACATTTTTTTTCTAATTTATTTTGGAACACTTACCATTTTTAGATTTACTTTATTTTCTATTTTATTTTAGAACACTTATCTAACTTATTTTAGAACACTTACCATTTATTTTATATTCGTGTTTAAATTGTGCCATTTGCTTACCCTACAATCCCGTATATATTTTCTAATTTTCTAATTATAACACTTACCATTTTTAAAACGTTTTCATGCTTGTAAATTACAATATTAATATTAAGAGTAATGCTAGAGTCACAAACAAACATTTCACAAAATTCACAAACTTACATTTTACAATATTAATATTAATTCGTACTTTTTATTTTATTTTCGTATTTAAATTGTATCATTTACTTACTTTACCATGTTTATTTTCTAATCTATTTTACAAAACTTACCATTTTTACACGGCCATGCCTATAAATTATAATATTTTTTGAAATAAATCATTCTAATCCCGCCAATACTTTATTAATTTGTAGTTTTCATTTTCATATTTAAATGGTACCATATTTTATTTCCATACTATAAATCCTTAGTGGTTCACTGCTATTTAATTTAATTTAAATGCTCAATTGGCATTACATTTAAATAAAAAAGAAAACATACTCAAAATAGAAGGAAAAAATGAGGCAAAATAATTAAACTATCATTTGTATTGTCAGCACTTTCCATATATGAGTCTCACATATGGGCGGGAAAACATTGAGACAACATTCTCCTCTTTTTACATAAAGTATAGATTATTATAAATATAATAATTTTATTAACGTCATGCTTACCATTTTATATTATTCACGTTAATTATTATAAAAATAATAGCTATATTAACTTCACACTTACTCAAAAAAAGGTTAAAAATGACAGTTACTTATTCTTGCAAAAATTTCAGACGTTTCAAATCAGTACTCATAATGACGTTGGTTAATTATTAGCATATAATACGTTGATTCCATTTTTATTAAAAACTTACGCTTTGCAATTTTATAACCTACCTTTTTAAATTATTTCCAATTTTCAATACGTTATTTATTATAAATATAATAATTAAAACTTTACAATTTCAACCATTTACCATTATAACTTCACAATTATTAACTTACCTTTCACCCATTTTAACTTACCTTTCTTTAATTATTATAAATATAATAATAATAATTATTATTATTACTATAATTTTGGCCATTTACCATTTTAACTTTACAATTGCCATTTATAATTGTCATACTTTTTAGGCGGGAAAATCATATGTTGACTCCGTCTTTTTAAATAAAGTATGGATTTTGGCTAAACCGGATATAATTTGGCCCAATTGGCACTCCAATGCAGTGTTTCAATCAAATTTTTATGTTGACCAAGTCACCAAAAGAATAACAAAATATCACAAAGAAGAAAAGAAACTAGAAAGAAAGCAGCTCTAGAGTTCTAAAGGGTGAAGATGTATTCATTCCTCTGCCAATTTAATTGTAACCAATCCTGATCATTAGAGGAAGTTCCAGCATCAAATTTTAGCCAATATAAATACACATGCTCACGGAAGGCAAACGGGGGCGGATATACGGAAAACAACAGAGAGGGAGAGAACAGAGCAGGGAGCCGGCCTAGGGTTCCAACCCCTAGGCCCAGCAGTCCAGCGGCGCGATGGTGGCTTGAATTCCGGAGATGGTGATTCCGATGGCGGCTAGGTCCGGCGCGGCTGAACTCGGCGTTTTCTTGGCTTCGTACAGTGAGCAGAGGCAGAGGACTAAGGGGAGTGTTCATCAGTTTATTCATTTTACTCCGTATTTGACTTTACTCTTTTTTTAATTAGGATTTTAAATTCACTAATTTACAATTGATGAATTTGAGCATCCATATTAAATATATTTATTTTCTATTCCAATTTTTGTGTTAAATGGTTAAGTTATAATATAAGTGATGAATTGTTTAAGTGTTGATGTTTAGTTGTTCAAGTTATGATTTATTGATTAATTATTCTCTCTGAAATTATAAAACCTTCTTAGGTCAAATTATTTGACAAAAAAAGATTAAATCTTTGATTTGATTGTTCTTGTTGAACTAGTTTGACTTTGAAAAGATTTTAGTTCTATGCTACTGTTAAATCTAAACTCGAAAAGGTGTTCTGAGAACTATTATTCACCAGATTTTACTTAAATTGGACCAAATTAGGAACGCGCGCCTAATCCAGTTTAAATTGATATTCTTTTAAAGTACAAATTGCTTTAAATAGCCAAACTTTTCTAGAAACTAAGTGTCACTTGATTAGCATAGGCTGCCTCGCTAAGTGGTTTTTGCTAATCAAGGTTTTCGAACTGATTTTGTTAAATAACCGTAGTGTACTGCAAAGTCGTTATGGTGATGTTTTCCACAAATCTTAATGCGCTATTCTTAGTAGTAACTTAAGGGTTGGTCTTTGGGTTGCTATGGATTAGGGCTGTTCAATCGGATCGATCCGATCCGATCCGAAAATTTCGGATCATGTAAAACTCATTCCATATCCGATCCGAAAATATTCGGATATCCGAAATTCGAATATCCGAATTTTCGGATCGGATCACTGGATTATCCGAAAAATTGACTTTTTAGACAAAATTTACAAAAAAAAGGTAAAATAGCAAAATCAACCCACAATATCAAATTCAATATAGATTTACTAAAAGAAAAATTTCACCACAAGATAACGGCCTAATAAAAAAAATTGATACCAAATTCAATTTGGGAGTAACTTTGGTATTTTTGCTTAAACAAACAAAAAAAATTACTATTAAAACAAAAAGTTTTAAAATGCTAATGCAAAAAGTCCAAAATGCTTGAGTTCCAAAATCAACATAAAATTGCATTAAACATATACCCATAATATATATTTATAAAATTCCATTAAACATATAAGCAAAAAAAAAAAATCGGATATCCGGTTATCCGAAAAATTCCAGAAATTGAATCCATATCCGATCCGATTTTTTTCGGATATCCGATCCGAAATATCCGAAAGCCAAAATATCGGATCGGATATTCGTTTTTCGGATCGGATATGCCCGGATCATGGACGGATTTTTCGGATCGGATATTTTTGAACACCCCTACTAAGGATAGTAGGGTTTAGAGTTAGGGTTGGTCTTAACATGAGCTAATATGAATGGGAAAATAGGGAAGAACCGTTGGTGGACCTATTCTTCAGCCTAACCCTGAGTTTAATTTCAGAATCAAGGCATAATTAATTAGTTAATTAGATTTGTTCAGTTATTTTCTATTAAAAACTATAAGTATTTTCAAAATGATTTAAGTTAATTATTATTGTCTACGTTTTATAAAGTTTATTGTGTGATTGTTTTTGTGTATTTGTTTTCTCCCTGAGTAGCTTCTGAGTTTGGCTTGCTGCTGCAGTTCCATCTCGTATCTGTTATCTCTTATCCTTTATCTTTATTTTATTTGTTTTTTTATCTTTTTAGAATTTATCATTCAAACCCCCCATATCCTTTAGTTTTAATTTTTAGATTTTAGTTAGTAATTTTTATTCAATAAAAGTGACAAGTAAATTGATTTTCTTAATATAAAAAGTATCTTTCCTCGTGGGATCGACCCTTACTTGCCCTATCCATATGTTTTAATTAATATTAATTCATAAAGGGGGATTTAAGTTAAGGAAAATAATAAATTAATTTGTAGTGCTACGACACGCCTATCAAATTTTGGCGCCGTTGCCGGGGAAAGATTAACTTTTATGAAAATCAGTTTGCTATGTTTAAAAAAAATGAAAAAAACAAAAAAAAAACAAAAAAATTAAAGCAAAAAAAACCAAAACAAAAAAAAACAAGAAAAATTGAAAAACGAAAAAAAACAACAAAACAAAAACGAAAGAAACTCCTAAAAAATGAAAAAAATCAGAATAAAAACACTAAAAAAAACAGATTTGTAGTTCTATTAAGACGCAGATACCAAAAAAAATGAGTTAATTTTTTTAAGTAATTGTTTTGTGTGTCCTTGAGTCTATTCCAAACTCTTTCCTTGTTTTAGATTTATTTGTCTCTTTGGATTACTAGACAGCTTTTGTTCTCTTCATATGTTATTTGAGTTACGTCCTTTTAGCTTGAGTCATCTTTTATTTTGAATTTTAGTTATGTCTGTGTCAGTGTCTTTAGATTAATAGTTAGTCTATAATTCTAACTTTTGGTTTCAACTTAAACTAATCTTTTAGTTTCTAACTTTAATCTAGCTAAATTTTCTTTTCGAACTTATTCTAACAGTAGCTACTTTAACCTAGAACTTTAACTTTTTTTTTCTTTAGGCATTGAATGTAGGCAAATTGAAAAGAGAAAAAAGAATCAAATTCAATTTTCAGACCTTCAGTTGGCAGCATCTTCAGTCATGTGAATCTGTTCTGTTAGAGCAGAATAAACAACAGAGTTCAGCTTAAGGAACCACTATACTTTAAGGTGCAAGGAGCTGAAAATCAGACATTGAGATGAGAATATGATTCTGGCTGGATATCTTTAGTTGCGACCAAAGTAGCTGCCACAGGTGCCCATGCTTCATCGGAAAAAAATAGCATGCAGTAACAAAGCAAGGCTAAAAGCAAAATATGAGGAGCAAAGGCTTGACCAAAACTGAAGGGAAATTGCTGCATTTGCTATACATTTCAGGTGACTTCTGTGCCAAAGGTTTTGAGTGATCAAACAATTGGGATATGCATTACGGGAGTCTCAAGATCTGTAGAAAGAGTTGCATTACATCAGAGTTCAGGTTTGGATTATGAATGTTATGCCATAAGGATCAATTCTGTTGCATCTCCTACTTTCCAAGTAAGTATTCCTAGCTCATTCTCATCTTGAGACAGATTGTGTAAAAACGTGTTCAAGTTCAGTTCATAATATCCAATGTAATGAAGGGTTCTTTCTTGAAAACGACATACAAAACGTGTGAGCCCTTCAGACCTGTTTTTTTAATTACTCTTGTTATCCTAATGATTGATTTTTCTAAGTACCCATGGAACAAGTATAGGTAATGTGCTAAGAAAATTCCCAAATAAATCATTACTTGTTCTTACTCGACATGTGGCCTAATCCACATTTTTGTTTAAGCCATGCTTAATTGAGACAGTGATTTTGCATTGATTTAACGAGTTGGCTGTTAAAAAAATCAAGCATGATTCCTATGACCTGTGATTAGGCCTACTTTGTCCTAAGAAATAAGAAATTTAAGTTTCTACTTCTTTTAATAAATTTCTTCTCCAATAAGACTTCAAGTGTAGGGGTTAAACTAGGTACTGGCCAGACCTCTTTTCAACCCTATTTTCCTAGAAGAAGCTATCATTTTCATTCCAACATCTTTTTGCTAAGTAACAATGTTTTCATACTCCTAAACGAATTGAGCAGAATAACTTGCACATTTATATGTTGAAGCTAGTACAGAGTCTTCATTCTGCTTAGAGTTGAAAATCACATTTCCTAATTTGATAAGCACTAAACCATAGTCTTCAAATTTGTAAAAAAAACTGCTCAACAATTAAAAAGGATGAAACCTTATTGAAAAATCTGTTTTAAAATCAACTTGTGAGTTTAGACAGAGCATGTTAGATAGTGAAGTAAAAAAAAAACTTGAGATTGATTTTCTTGGGTTAGTTGGAGTTGATTTGTTTTTTAGAGCTTGAGATTGATTTTCTTGTTTGCTACTTTTCAAAGTCTTCATTTGCTCTCAAGAACCTTAGAATCCTACTCAAGCCATGAATCTCTGTTTTAGAATTAAGTTTTCTTTATGGAAGTAAAAAATCAAAAAAGGGAATTAAAACATCTCAAGTTTTTCAAAAGGTCAGTCCAATCACTGTATTGTCAAAAATATGACTATTGTCTTGGTTTAGTTGAGAATGAACCGTTGGGGTAAAAAAAAAGAAATTATCTATTGTCTTGGTTTGTGCTCAGCTATTTCAAAGTCTAATCTTTATCTACATTCTGTGCATTGTCAAAAATATGACTAAATTTTCTCTCATACATGATTCTCCAAACTAATAAAATCCTTACTTGTAAACAATGTTTTAAAGTTCCAAAATTAGAATAAGGGAAACAAGAAACACTGTTTTAGTAGAATTTAACAAAAATAAAATTGTTTTCCAAATGCTATTTTAAGTGTCGGGTATATCTTTAGTTACTTGTGCTTTGCAAGTTATCACCCGACACCATAACATCTAGTTCTCAGAAACTTGATCACTTTTTGAGAATCTATGATGTTAGAACTTTATGTGTTTATTTGGAAAAATAATCTATGAGTAATACTAAAACTATATTTTTTTTCTTTCTATTTTGACCTTGTGAGCTATTTGGTTTTCTTGGGAATTTTGTTTTGAAATATCACATGTTATTAGGAGTACGATATGGATTATCCATATTGTCCCGAGCACAACAAATGGTCTAGCCGAAGACACTAAAGGAGGGTAGCTTCTAGGAGGCAACCCAGATATTTAAACTTTTACTTTTATGCATTTTATTTACCTTTTTCTTTTCTATTATCCTCTTCTTTACTTGCACTTTGTCTGCCTAGCATAATCAATTGTCATATCTTATGAGCCCCTTCCTATCATTTTGCATCTATTTTATTGTTTTTCATGTTCCATGTTGTTAACTGTTTCATCTTATATGTACATATGTTCATCATTTTTATATCATTTACATGCATTGAGGACACTGCATGATTTAAGTGTGGAGGGACGCTTTCTGCATTTAGTTAGGCATATTTTAGGAAAAATTTTTTGTTTGCATGTTTTTATACACATATTAGGAGCATGAATTGGGTAGGAAAAAATTCGTTTCATGTCAAATTTTGCATTTTAGATGCAATTTGGTTATAAAAAAAGTTAAAATTTCTAAAAGTTTTTAAAGAAAATAATAATCTTTCACATGAAGATCTATAAAAAAAAGAGAGAATTTCAATAAAAATTAGAAATCAAAATAGTTTCTTTTAATCTTTTAGCACTCTTAAGTATTTGCATTTTTTGCATTAAATAGAAAATAAATTTGTAACAAGTATGTTTGAATTTCTTTAAAAATGAGTTTTCTACTATAAACTTTAAATCATTTCTTTTAAGTCAAATCTATTTGGAACTTGTTTTTGTTTAATTTCATACTTTTCAATTAGTTAAGTTCAATGTGCACAATTTGTTTAGAAATATATGGAGCAGTTTTCAAACTAACCGTTTTTGTCCTAAGTTACTATTCAAGTAAAGTTAGTTTTAAGAAAATCTTTTTCTTTTTCTAAATTTTGGTTATTTACATATTATCAAGATGCTGAAAATTTACATATATATACTGGAACACCATCTTAGGTTGGCATGGGTGGCACGACACTTTTGTCCCCCTAAGCAACAGATCCCAAAAGGAAGTGATGTTATGTATGGAGAAAACCTGAGTTGGAAGATCAAACCCCTTTTTGGACCGTAAGAATCTCGTCCATAACCAGTAAAAAAATAGAAAAAGCCGACGCCATTGAGCCAAAAGAAAAAAAAAGTGCAATAAATGGCTAGGAAGGAAAAAAAGAATATAAATTAAAGTAAATGAATTATAATATTGTTTGAGCACTCGAGTTAAAACCCTTGGAATACTTTGTTTATTTAGGTCCTGGGCTATCTGAAATGGGCCTAGGGTAGCCTGGTTGAGACTCGCTACACAGGTCAACTCAAACAATATAATTAAAATATTGAAAGAAGGCAATTAAATAAATAAAAGTTTCCAAATTTTGGAAAAGAAAATAAATTTTCTTGAGAGTTCCTTTACTTGATGGTTTCTTAGGATTTCTATTTACTTTTTGCTGCTCTATGGATTTCTTTTAAATTGTTCTTAATGACCTTAGTTAATTCAAAATTTTGACATTAAATAAAAATAATTTCTACTTAGCTTTTAAGTGATAGAATTGTTTTAAAATTTAAAGTAGCAAATTTATTTTTAAAGTGTTTATTCTATTTGTACATGATTAATTTCTGTTTAATGTTTCATGCATTACTTTAGAGTGTTATGAGATTGAAAAATTATTTTGAGCTCTAATGTCAACCAAAGAGAAAAAATAGATTCTAAAATGTTTAGTTTGCACGAGGACGTGCAAAAGTCTAAGTGTGGGGGTATTTGTTGAGTCACAAAATGTCATATTTTATTCCCTTATTTCTTAATACTTTTAAGATATTTTATATACATTTTATACCGAAATATTCATATTTTCTCATATTTTGTATGTTTGGCTATTGTTTACATTTTATACATTAAATGCATAGTTTTGAGCATATTTATATTTTACTACCTCCGTCCCACTCTCTTTGTCTACTTTTGACTTTTGGAACTGTTTATCTAAGCACTTTGACTCATCAAATTCTCTCAATGTGTAAGTCTAAATATAGTCATGTGTGATCTTGTTTGATTTGTCTTAACATATAGATTATTAATATATAATTTCTATAATTTTTTAATATACAAATTACAAGATAAAATGGATTAAAAAAATGCATTGGATGGTGTGCCAAAAGGTAAGTGGACAAAGAGAGTGGGACGGAGGGAGTACAATTGTTTTAGAATTTTATTTTTCTTGATGAATATTTTTAGATATATTGTGGAACACAAAAGAAAGATAATAAAGGAGGTGCTCTGAAGTCACAATTCTAACATATGAAATATTTTGGCTAAACCGGATAAAATTTGGCCCAATTGGCACTCCAATGCAGTGTTTCAATCCAATTTTTATGTTGACCAAGTCACCAAAGGAATAACAAAATATCACAAAGAAGAAAAGAAACTAGAAAGAAAGCAGCTCTAGAGTTCTAAAGGGTGAAGATGTATTCATTCCTCTGCCAATTCAATTGTAACCAATCCTGATCATTAGAGGAAGTTCCAGCATCAAATTTTAGCCAATATAGATACACATGCTCACGGAAGGCAAACGGGGGGCGGATATACGGAAAACAACAGAGAGGGAGAGAACAGAGCAGGGAGCCGGCCTAGGGTTCCAACCCCTAGGCCCAGCAGTCCAGCGGCGCGATGGTGGCTTGAATTCCGGCGATGGTGATTCCGATGGCGGCTAGGTCCGGCGCGGCTGAACTCGGCGTTTTCTTGGCTTCGTACAGTGAGCAGAGGCAGAGGACTCAGGGGAGTGTTCATCAGTTTATTCATTTTACTCCGTATTTGACTTTTCTCTTTTTTTAATTAGGATTTTTAAATTCACTAATTTACAATTGATGAATTTCAACATCCATATTAAATATATTTATTTTCTATTCCAATTTTTGTGTTAAATGGTTAAGTTATAATATAAGTGATGAATTGTTTAAGTGTTGATGTTTAGTTGTTCAAGTTATGATTTATTGATTAATTATTCTCTCTAAAATTATAAAACCTTCTTAGGTCAAATTATTTGACAAAAAAAGATTAAATCTTTGATTTGATTGTTCTTGTTGAACTAGTTTGACTTTGAAGAGATTTTAGTTCTATGCTACTGTTAAATCTAAACTCGAAAAGGTGTTCTGAGAACTACTCCTTCTGTCCACCATAGATCTTTCCAATAGCCCTTTTTCTTTGTCCACAATAGATCTTCTCATTTCATGTTTTAACAAGTAAAATACCACAACTACCCCCACTTACTTTATTTATTACACCTCACCTACCTCATTTAATACACTTCACCCATTTTTCATTAAGGGTATTATGGTAAACTTTCACCTTTTTTCAACTCTCCTTAAAAACCACCAAAAGTCATAATGAGAACATCTTAGGCGGACGGAGGGAGTATTATTTACCAGATTTTACTTAAATTGGAACAAATTAGGAACGCGCGCATAATCTAGTTTAAATTGATATTCTTTTAAAATCTAAAGTGCTTTAAATAGTCGAACTTTTCTAGAAACTAAGTGTCACTTGATTAGCATAGGCTGCCTCTCCAAGTGGTTTTTTTTGCTAATCAAGGTTTTCGAACTGATTTTGTTAAATAATCGTAGTGTTACTGCAAAGTCGTTATGGTGATGTTTTCCACAAATCTTAATGCGCTATTCTTAGTAGTAACTTAAGGGTTGGTCTTTGGGTTGCTAAGGATAGTAGTGTTTAGAGTTAGGGTTGGTCTTAACATGAGCTAATATGAATGGGAAAATAGGGAAGAACCATTGGTGGAAGTGATGTTGTGTATGGAGAAAACCTAAGTTGGAAGAGCAAACCCCGTTTTGGGCCGTACGAATCTCGTCCATAACCAGTTAGATAAAAAAAGAGAATAACCGACGCCATTGAGCCAAAAAAGAAAAAAGAGGGCAATAAATGGCTAGGTAGAAAAAAGAATAAAAAATGAATAAAAATATTGTTTGAGAACTCGAGTTGATACCCTTGGAATACTTTGTTTATTTAGGTCCCGGCTATCTGGAATGGGCCTGGGGTAGCCTAGTTGAGACTCGCTACACGGGTCAACTCAAACAATCAATATTAAAATATTAAATGAAAGCAATAAATAAAAGTTTCCAAATTTTGGAAAAGAAAATAAATTTTCTTGAGCTTTTCTTTACTTGATTGTTTCTTAGGATTTCTAACAACTTTTTGCTGCTCTATTTATGTCTTTTAAATTGTTCTCAATGACTTTAATTAATTTTAAAGTTTTGACATTAAATAAAAATAATTTCTACTTAGCTTTGAAGGAAAAGAATTGTTTTAAAATTTAAAGTAGCAAATTGATTTTAAAGTGTTTATTCTATTTGGTACATGGTTAATTTCTATTTAATGTTTCATGCATCACTTTAGATTGTTTTGAGATTGAGGAATTATTTTGGGCTCTAATGTCAACCAAAGGAAAAAATTGATTCTCAAATTTAGTTTGAACGAGGACGTTCAAAGGCTAAGTGTGGGAGTATTTGTTAAGTCTCAAATTATTATATTTTTAAACCCCATTTCTTAGTTATTTTATATAATTTATTTGCATATTTTTACCTAATGGAGCATATTTTCTATACTTATGTAACTTAGGCATCAAAATATATTTTATATGAAAAATGGGTATTTTTGGTCATGTTTTGTAGTATAATTTAATTAGTGCTCTTTAAACTCCACCTTAGCAAGGGATTATTTACAATAAATGTGTGAGTTGGGGTTAATATATACGGAGTATTTATTATCTAAAAAAATACATTGTTAATTGATTATCTTTTATCAAGTCTAAGGGGCTGTTTGGCAATTTCTGAATCGGTAAGTGCTGAACCAGTAAGAGGTCTGAACCATTAAGTGCTGAACCAGTAAGCGGTCTGAACCATTAAGAGCTAGTATATTGTTTAACTATTCAGAGGCAAATGTCTGATCAATTCAGATAAGAAGTTTTAACCATTCAGACTCTGTATAATACTTAACCACTCAGAGACAAATCTCTTAACCATTCAGACATCTGAACCATTAAGAGTCTGAAACAAACAGTCTGAACCATTAAGTGCTAAACCATTCAGACATCTGAACCATTAAGAGGCTGAAACAAACAGCCCTTAAATAATGTTGTTTTTCTTCTATTAGGATTCCCAATGCAAGAAACTTAGTGCACATTTCAAAATAGTTGAGAGAAAAGAGGGATCCGGTAGCGAAGAAAAGAGACGGCACTTGCGCCATTCTCCGCCTACAACGAGAAATCCGGATCGCAAGTTTCATCAGAGTCCAGATCGGAAAAATCTCTCTCAGCATCTATAAAAGACGGAGAAGAACTCTGCAATCGAACACACACACAACTCCAAATCCGAAACCCTAGCCGAGAGAAACAGCGTAGCACTCCAGCTCTCGGACGCTGCATTCCAGCAACTAGGTGACGCATCTTGACAGTAGCGCACCGCAACTCGCACACACCAGTCTAAGCACTTAAAATTAATTACGAGAGTATAGACTTTATCCCTTATGATTTAGTTTTTCTTGGATTAATTGCTTATTGTTGATGGCATCTACAATTTTGCAATTCCGTTTAGAACCATTGGAAGTGCTTGAGATGTTTTAAATATCTCAATGTTTCAAACTTCATTTGCTATGCTGGGTGTTTCACAATTCTACATCATGCTTGAGTAAATTCATGTGTCTTGGTTTAATAATGGATTAATAATGATTTGTTAAACAAATGAAACTGTTTTGTGCATTAAATTGATTTTTAATTACTTGTGGTGATTGAAAATGGATTTAATTTAATATTTGGGGTAGATTATTTGAGTAAGATTGCGCAGCTTATTTGTTTAATTTTATTCCAAAGTTGACAATTTATAAACCTAGAGTACGAAAAAGCTCATGTTTTATGAATCAAGTGTCAACTATTTGATTGAGTTCAAGTTTTACTTGAATGTGATTATTTAGAATTTTCAATTAGTCTTGTTAAATAGGTCCGCAGGTGGAACTGTTACAAGATTCTAGGTGAAGCTTTTTTAGTGTTTATTGCATCAAACTCAATTAAATTCCGGGGCAGGTCTTGGGGTTGTTTTTGATAGGGATTTAGATTAGGGCAGGTCTTAATCTAGTCTAAACAGAAAGAAAAAGTAGGGAAGACCCGCATGTGGATAACCTTCTACAGTCTAGTCCACAAGTGATTAAAGACGTACTCGAGTTAATGGTTTTGCAAAACAATCATTGAAAATTCAGAATTAAACCAAGACAGCTTTCATATTCCTATAAAAAAAAGACCTCCTTTTCTACTTTATTTTATTGGTTATTTGGTATTTTACTTCTCCAAAAAAAAAATAAAAAAATATTTCTAGCTAGTTCTTCAAATTTTTAGTCTTCAAGTAAGTCAATTTTACAACCAACCCCCCCGTGTGAGTGAGTTGTTTCATCTTAAAGTAATAAGTATTTCACAGTAGCTTGGGTTGAAAAATAGTAATCTCTCCCTGTGGGATCGATCCTTCCTTATCATATCTACAAAATAATTTAAAAAAATAAAATAAAATAAGAAGAACGTAAGGTTTTAATTTGTAGGCCTTCGACAAGCCTTAATATATATATATATATATATATATATATATATATATATATATATATATATATATATATATATATATATATAAA